TTCTTTTTTTTTTTAAGATTTATTTATTTGTGCATACAGAACTGGGGTACAGGTCAGAGGCTCAGAGTGGGCGAGAGGCTTCACCAGAGACAGAGTGGGGAGCAGAACAGGTAGATTGACGAAGTACACTGCTGAGGGGAGCAGCGGGCGGGTCAGGAGAGGTCTACCACGCCATGTGGTCACCTCCGGGGCAGGTGGGATTCGAACTCATGCAGAAGTGGCTTTAGATTCTCAGTGCAGTGCTTTAACCCACTGCACCACCAGGGAGGGCCCCCAATTGACTGTTCTTTTTTAAATTAAGATTTTAAAAGAATATTTCAGGTTCACTGAAAAAAATTAGTAGAAAGTACATATGTCCCATATGTTCTTAGCCTCTCCCATTGTCAATATCCCCCACCAGAGCAGTATGTTTGTTGCATTGATGAGCCTACATTGATGAATTGTAATCACCCAGCACCTGTAGCTTACATTCTTGGTGTTGTATATTCTATGAATTTGGACAAATACATAATGACATGTATCATCATTATGTTATACCAAGTATTTTCACAGTCCTAAAAAATCCTCTGGTTATACCAATTTATCCTCACCCATGTCACTGTCTCATTAAAGTGTCTCCTTCTGTGTCTCCCAAGTCCCTGGTACAAGTCCAAGACCAAGCATGCACATGTCTCTGTTCCATATGCATGCTTCCTCCATCCTCTTCTTGATCTCTTTATTTCCTTCTCCCAGTCTTCTCTAGGTTCTCCTCCCTGCTCAGCCTCACTTTTCCTTAGGATGGGGCAGGGCCCCTAGAACCTTCCCTTTCCCTGGAGATTACTCTATTGCAGGATTATATGCAGTGTAGCTATAACATAGATAAGGAAGATGATGAAAGTATCTTAAATTTTCTGGGAGACAATTGAGATGTAGCTATAAAAACTTTAAACAAACAAAAAAATGTTGGCCCTCCCTGGTAGCACAGCAAGTTAAAGCATAGCATTACAAATCTAGCCATGGCTGCTTCAGCAGGAGTTCGATTCCCAGCCAGGGAGGTGACCCACATGGCGTGGCAGACTTCTGTCTTGCACACTTCTCCCCTCAGTCTGCCCGTTCTGCTCCCCACTCTGTCTCTATTGAATCCTCTCACTTCCCTTGCACCTCTGGCTTATACCTCAGTTCTGTATGCATCAATAAATATTTAACAATATATGTATTTTTAAAAAGGTTCCTTTGATCTAATAAATGTACCACTGTGCTCTCCTGAGAAAGGAATAGATATAACAGCATTGACTTAGAACTAACGGTACACTGTTCACTTAAATTACTGTTCCAGGGAGAAATTGGACAGTGTAATGTCAGTAATAGGGAACTTGTCTCTCAAGGTAGTACAGAAAATTGGTATCACTTAAATAATACTATGTAAAGGGAATATATTCTACAGATATAATTACCTCTGAAAATTCCTTATCAGAAGTTATATTGGTTTGTGTCCTATCTTAATGTATACCACAAAGCTAGTTTTTACTTCAGAGGAGAATTGATGCTTCTTTAAGAGCCATGATGTGTGAACAATACCTGTTTAAAATTGGAACCATAAAGCAGTCAATCCTCACAGGAATAAAAGAACTGAGACTTCTGACATGTCCTTAATCTGGGGTTTGTGCTTATGATTGGAATCATAAACACTGGTGGTATGAATTTATGTAAATAAAGTATGCAACTTGATCAGGTATTGCTTCTATCGATGAAACTGCAAAATGACTAGAATGAAATGTACCCCCAAACCTTATGATTATCTTTGGGTTGTTTTGTTTATGCTTTTCTAAATGTTCTATATTGAACTTACTTTATAGTTAGTAAAAATTTATTTAAAATTTTCCTCTACAGTGTTGAAAAATTACTCCTTTCACCTCAGAAATTAGGATTACTGAGATAATTGTTTAACTATTACTTAAAAGCTGTGTTTGAGTAGGTCACATACACACTTATGATACATTTTGTGTCCTAGAATTTGCTAAGTCCTCTTGTTTTTCCCTGGAATGTCACTCTGCATGGTGGATGTCTGGGCAGGAATATAAAATGCAGTGATGCTAGGTAGGATCAAATTTATTAAGAAATAGGGTTTTATTTGGGTTTTGATTTTTAAATGAAACTGTAGCATTGTATTTAATTTAGCATGTACTGGCTCTGATGTCAGGAGTGTGCTAGGTCTGTCCTATACTACAAGGTGAATATACATTTCTTGTTGCAATTTTAGCAGTTTATTTTTGAAGATCTATTTTGCAGTTGATGTAGTTAAAACAAGAGGGGTAAAATGCTTGTTTTACTTGTTTAAAATGTGGCCATACAGCTAGTTAAGGAGAAAAATCTGTTTGATTTGACTGTAAAATGCTGCTTCTTGGGTTTGTGGCCATATCTTTTATTATCATGTATGGTGCTCACATGCATTCATAAAATGAATAGCTATGCTATTCATAACTAAAGAATCTGCTTTAGTTGATTGTTTTCATAGTGGGGACATTTATTCTTTTACATGCTCCGAAGTCTATAGTGTGGGGGTTGGCAAATAAAGCCCCAAGCTTGTATTTTCAATTTTCCTTTTGTTTCTGTGTATTTAAAATAATAAAATCTTAAACATGACAAGTATAAGATTAAAGGAATGGGCTTGTGTACAATAATTATAAGTGACAGAACTATAATTAAGAACTCATTTTAAAACTCTGGCCCACTTTTTCTTCTAAATGCTGCCTAGTCATGTTTGTCATCATCTTCCCCATTCTTCTGTCCCCACCCTCTCCCTTTTAAAGTTGAGGACAAGATATTGTATACCGAATATAATAAATCATATTTGTCTCATGATTGTTATATATGGGGGTGAAATGCATAGAAAGATTCCATAGCAATCTGTTCTGGGCTTCATTAAGCAATTAAAATGTAATGGTAAGTAAAGGCCATATGGAGCCTTGAATAGCCACACCAGAGTTAAGTGGTCTGATGTCAACTTAACTTTCTTTTTCCCACTTAGTTTTCGGAATACTGTGAGGAAATTGGTGTGAATGGTACAATTTTCTCTAGATATTGTTGATACCTACTTCCCTTTTTATTTCTAACTGATATCAGAAAGATCATTAATGTGATATTCTCTATAAAATCTTCATAGTCGTTGTAGAAAAGAAGAGTCTTTTGAAAAAAATGGTAGTAAAATTGTGTAAGAATTGGAGGCATTTTGGTGCCACATGCTTGAGTTTGGGTTGTTACTGTTTTCAGACCTACTGTTGTTAAAATTTGGCTCTATCCTTGTCTAACTCGCTAATCTTAATCTAGTCATTTAACCCTTAAGTATCATGAGAAAGAAATAACACCAGAGGTGTTAATACCCACTTTTACAGTTGTTGTATGGATGAAATATGCCATTACACATGAATGATATCTCAGTGCCTGACTTAAGTGAAGTACTCACTTTTCCCATTCTACTTTTCACCCCAATTTTTTTATAAAGTGTTTAATTTAATTTTTTTTTTTTTCTGTTCTAGGTGGATTGTAGACATGGAAGGTGCACCAGGTACCTTATATGAAGGGGAAAAATTTCAACTTCTATTTAAGTTTAGTAGTAGATACCCTTTTGACTCTCCTCAGGTAACTGCCTTACTTTTAAATTTTTGTTATGTTTTAGATTATATAGCATACTGCTCACTGCTAAGTTTTTACTTGAGTTAGTAAAAAGACATTAGAATTATATGAATGGATTTGGTCCTTTACCTTTTTTGTAATGTAATCAATATCTTATGAACATTTGATAAATGTTGATGATAAAGACAAGTAGAAAAGGGAAATGGGAGTATTTTGGCTTTTATAGAGCATTCAAGAAAGATTATGTTGAGAAGGTGGCATTGGAACAAAGATCTAAAAGTGGTGATGAGTAGGTAGTATGAAAGAAGTGAGGGGGAAGAGTAGGTAAATATAGAACTCTAAGACCCTGCATCTGAAGGATGTGTAGTGGTTCTCTCAAGGGCTAAGTAGGCAAGGAGAGCTGTAAAGGGCATATTTGGCCTGAAGAGTCCATCACAGATTATATAAGACATAGGTCATTGTAAGAGTTTCGACTTTTACTGTGAATGAAATGGGACTTTGCAGGCCTGTAGTACAGGAATGATTCTACTTGAAATTAAAGAGAAAAGTCTACTGTGTGGCATTTTGACTATTGGACACAAGGGTACCAGGAAGACCAGATTGGCTATTACAGTACTTCAAGCAAGAGAGGACTTGTCCTCAGAAGGTTAACAGTAGTTAACAGTAGAAGTATGGAAGATGACCTTTTTTTTTTTTTTAAGATAAAAAAAAATTATTTATACAGGAGCTGGGATATAGGCCACAGTGTGTGTGTATGTGTGTGTGTGTGTGTTTGTACACTCACGATGAGAGAGTTTGTATGTGTATTCACCAGAGACAAGAGTGGGGAGCAGATAGTCAGATTGATTAAAATATACAGCTGAGGGGAGCAGCAGGCAAGACAGGAGAGGTCTGCTACTCGATGTGTGTGACTTCCCTGGCCGGGATCGAATTCATGCTTCAGTGGCTGGCCATAGCTTCATAGTGCTTTAGACTTAGCCCCTTGTGCCAGCAGGGAGGCCCAGGTGACCTTTTTTTTTTTTTAATTGAGGTAACATTTGGTTTCTATCATTATTTATGCATTAAAAGTGTAGTATTTCCCCTTTGGTGGTATTACCACACTATACCCACCACATAGACACCCATAGCCCACCATTATAGTCCATTTTCTGCCTACCCACTTTTTCCTTATACTTTCCCCTCCCCTACTGATAACCTTAGTTCTGTAGTCAGCCTTATGTGGTTACTTATTAGTTTGACTTTATGTGATGGAATGTGGCTGTATTTTGTACCTATGTTAGAAGTTGAGTCAACAGAATTTGCTGAGGGATTGATGTGGATTATGAATGAAGGCCTCAAGTAATACCCTATGATGTTTGGCCTATGAATTGGAAATGAAAGTACGTTGAAGTATGTATCATATGGTAGTGACCAGTTTAGAATAATGTTCGAAGGCAAAGATAACTGTTTGCACTGGTACTTAAAAAACAAAAATTTGACCCTCCTTGGTGGTGCATTGGATTTAAGTACAGCACTAAGAAGCTAAAGCCGCTTCAGCATGAGTTCAATCCCTGCCCCGAAGGTGATCCATACGGAGTGTCAGACCTCTCCTGACCCGCCCCCTGCTCCCTTCAGCAGTATACTTTAACAGTCGGCCTGTTCTGCTCCCCACTCTGTCTCTGGTGAATCATCTCATCACCCCTGCATCTCTGTACCCCAGTTCTGTATCCTGTACTCCAGTTCTGTATGCATAAATAAATAAATCTTTTTTTAAAAAAAATTTGAAAATTGGGTACGCATGAAAGGAGATGCCTTTTTCAAGACTTGTCAGCATGTGTCATAGCATTATGTGTAGAGAACAATGGACATTTGCAACAGGAGAGGAAAGTGGAAGGCTATTTTGGGGTCTGTTAAAGTAGATCTTGTAATATGAACGAGTTGGAAATTTATCTCAAGAAACTGGAAAGAGGTATGTTCAGTCTCCATAAAACTATGAGCTTACTCAAGCTTTGTATCTTTACTGTTTTGCTTTTTCTTTCTGCCTGCTTCCTCACTTTACCAGCCTTTCCCTTCTTCAGCTATCTACTTATACCCCACTTCCTCTTTTAGAGCATCATATTTGAGTGAAGGAAATCAGAAACGTATCTGTATTGTACATGTCACTGTTAACAGTTGTTTTTAAGCTTTTCCATTCTAATTTTGTTAAAAAGATACTAGGCATTTTAAAAAGTGTAGGGGATTTTTTTTTTAAAGATTTATTTATTTATGCATACAGAACTGGGGTACAGGTCAGAGGTGCAAGGGTGGTGAGAGGATTCACCAGAGACAAAGTGGGGAGCAGAACAGGATGACTGATGAAGTACACTGCTGAGGGGAACAACGGGCAAGACAGGAGAGGTCTGCTGCACCATGTGGATCACCTCCAGGGCAGGGATCGAACTCATGCTGAAGTGGCGTTAATTTCTTAGTACTGTGCTTTAACCCACTGCGCCACTAGGGAAGGCCCGGAATTTTTTTTTTATGGGGAAGAGGATATTGTTTTTTAGTCCTGAAACCATGCTGGTGGCTAAACCATGCTAGAAGAGATGCTAAAAATATACATACTTTGATTGTAAAGCTTTAGAAATACAGAACAAAAGAATAATCACTTTCTCCTTCCCATTTTTTTTCTCTTTTCTGCTCATGCCACCTTAACTCACTCTTTTTGTTCCATTGCTCAAAATTCTCTTGTTAGAGAGATACAGAACCTGTTTTTATCCTTTCTTTCAGTCCTGATCTGACTGTCTCCACTTTTCCAGGTGATGTTCAAACTTTCCAAAATCCTAATAATTTTTATTGCTTTAAATTGTTTAGTGTCTAGCACATCTGACAAGAAGAAAGTTTACTTTGAAGTGTAAATCCTATTCATTGAAACCTTGGAAGATAAAAGACTTATAGGCTAGAAGAAAACCAGGGTATAAAGGAAAGAATAGTTGTCACCCAAGAGAATCCAAGTTTAGTTTCATTATATTCAGCAATTTTCTCTTTGCCATACATATATATCTGTTAATTGTGGAAAATCATTAATATTGATGCTACTGATACATATTAAAAGATTAAAAGGTGAAAATTGAACTGAAAGTTATTTTAAATTTCTTATCCCTGGTAACTTTTGTCAGATAATCTACTATTTGTGTTAGAGTATACATAACACCACATTTTATTCCTAGTTAGGTATCTGATTTATTACAGTAAAATCTGAGCTTATATATTCAGTTTTTATAGTTCCCCATTAAATAGTCTCATCTTCTTATGCTTTTAATGAGAAAATATTCCCTCTATTAATTGTCCCTGGAGAAACTTTAGTATCCATATTACAGATTGGCTTTCATAATTATAGCCTGTTTTGTACTATTTATTTTGTAAGTACTTTATTTTGACCTAACTTGACACTATACTAAGTGCTTTACTTTCTAATTATTTCCAGAACACTAGTCTAAACATAGTCATATGTCTTCCACATATCTCAGTATTGTAAGCTTATTCAGTATTGAGCTACATGTTTAGAAATTCTTACTATATGCTTCAAATTAGAAACATCTAATCTTTACCCATTATTTTGTTCCTATTTGTGACTTTTGGGTTAAATATTAGTAGTTGTATGATAGATAACGTATTCAGTACCAAAAGTTATACAGCAGTTGGCTTGCTTATAATTTTTGTTTGGATGTGCAGTATGCACTCTTACCTCCTCAATTAAAGGGGTCCTAAGTATATGGTTGGTTCAGCTCTGAACTGCTCTTGCAAATGAGCCACACTAATAAGGGGATATTTGGAATTTAGGGACCGCTGATGAAACTGCTTCCAGTGCAGATCCAGAACTTCAGGTGTGATTTACATTCATTAGAGTGAAGATCCTTTTCTAAAATTGTTGTTTGACTTCTTTCAAAAAGCTTGTCTCAAAAAAATTCCGTAGTATCATTTCACTTTTTTGGTTTATATAATGGAAATGTATGTAGTCTTTATTTATTAAATATTTAATCTGTATGATCAGTTTGAACAAATATGTCTAAAGTGAATAAGTTACCAAAGTTGTTACTGGGATTTCATATTTATTGTATTCAGTTATATTCACTGTCTTTCACATCACATCTGTTTTAGCTACTTGGGACTTATTTGAACTCTGGAAACATTTTATCTCAAGTTTTCAAAACCCACTTCATTGCATTAAAATAGCTAAAATTCCTACTTCTTCATTTGATTTATGCTGTGTATTAAGTGAGGAAGGTTAAGAGTGTGAACCAGAATAGGAGAGTTTGCATCAAAACTGTGTAAACTACTTACCACCCTTTTGTGTGAGTGAACTGTTTGAAAATCCCTTTTCTTTTATTTCAGGGATTCATCTCTGACATGTATATCCACCCTTCCCATATTTAGGCAAACTTCTAAAATTCTTAATCAGGCACCGTAGACCCTAGGGATTGTCTGTAATAGGTACAGCTTACTAATTTACCCTGTTTTTAGTGGCTAAAAATTTCAGGCTGGCTGCATTTGCTCAACCTGCAGCCTGTTACAAATACCTGCTTGTTTGTTTGCTTGTTTGTTTGTTTGCTTGCTTGCTTGTTTTTATAAGAAAGTTTCTGAGATCTGATTTATTTTTATTTCAGTTACCTCAAAGTTCAACATGGTTTCTATGTTCTTGATTTCTGGTACTCTTCTCAGGTTATAGAATGTCTACTTCTATTTTCTACTGCCACTTAGACACATGCCTTTTCTTCTTCCCTGATTGCCTTTTGGTTCATGCACACCCTTGAGTCTCAAACCTTGTGAATTAGCTTATAATAATTTATTCCCAAAACAACACTGCTTTCCTTCAGTTCTGTGAATTGTGAGTCAAAACTTGTTGATAAACGTTATTTTGCTGTCTGTGTATATTCCTTGATGGTTGCTGATAATGTTGATTCATTTTTGCCATTTTGCCATTTTTGATTCATATTTGGCACCTTCAGGTCATTATTCTACTTCTGAAAAATGAGATCTTGACTGGAAAGCAAACTTCTTTTAAAAATTAATCATGGCCAGGGAATAAGCTGTTAGGTTTTGCTTGTGTGTGTGTGTGTGTGTGTGTGTGTGTGTGTGTGTTTAAGATTTATTTATTTTATGCTTACAGAACTGGGGTACAGGCCAGAGGTGCAGGGGCAGTGAGAGGATTTACCGGAGACAGAGTGAGGAGCAGAACAGGTAGATGAGAAAGTACACTGCTGAGGGGAGCAGTGGGTGGGTCAGGAGAGGTCTGCCACGCCATGTGTGTCAGCTCCCTGGCCAGGGATTGAACTCCTGCTGCAGATGCTTCAGAGAGCTTCATAATGTGGTGCTTTAACCCATTGTGCCACCATGGAGTGCCATTGCTTGTGTTCTTTAAAAAAAAAATTTATTTTTACTTATTTATGTATGCAAGAACTGGGGTGCAGGCCATAAGTTGGGGTGATGGGGAAGACAATTCACCAGAAAGAATTGTGGGGTGCAGTGTATTTCAGTCAGTCTTCCTTTTCTAAATCCCAACTCTGTCTCTGGTGAATCCTCTCACTGCCCCTACACCTCTGGCCTGTATCTTAGTTCTATATGCATAGATAAATAAATCTTTAAAATAAAAATACTATAGCAGTCAAATGACATTTTGCAGCAGAATGAGTACCACAAAGCAGATGTATATTTTGTTGGATTTGTGAACTCCCAGATACATCTACAACATCTAGGAAATCAAATGCATACAATTTAACACATTAAAGCTCATATTGATGAAAAATAAAATATAATTTTAAAAAGAATATAGATAGATTTCAAGGTGTAGAATTGTAAAACCCTTTAAGCAGTGCCTTTCTTTTGCAGAATGACACCAGAACTAATTGATATGAATGGTATGTTTCAAATAAGTCAGTCTTCTGCAATCAGGCAGGGCATAAAATGACATATTTTATTTTGGGACTTATATTTTAGCAGAAATGGAGGGTGGATAATTAGAAGTTAGATAGGTAATTAGAAAACACTATTTTTCCTTATGTTAGCTTCAACTAAGGAAACAAGTCTCATGTTAGTAGTAGTATACTAAATAGAAGACTCCTACTTATATGAGAGATTGTTTTGTTAAAATGTAAGATTGTAAGTAAGTAACATTTATAGGTAGATACTTAAAAACAAAACCCTAGTCTTTATTAATTTCCCATAACATATCCCATATTAAGCTGTGGCATCTCTTTTGTCACACTTTGTTCACTGGTTCTCTTTTTTGCTCCTTAAAGAAAAAAAAAAGTTATACTTAGAGCTAATACATTTTGTCAATTTCTGTCATAACACAGCATATTCTAAATTCTGCTAAGAATATACTAAAATAAGATTAAGCTTTAAGTACATAATAGGTATGCTAAAATCCTGCTAAGATACTGAGGTAATTTGCAATACTTAAAGATGTAATTCTGGATTGAGAGCTACTGGTTTATATTTAATGAGCTTTACAAAAGCCTGTGATAGGGCCCTCCCTGGTGGTGCAGCAGGTTAAAGCACAGCACTGAGAAGCGAAAGCCACTTCAGCAAGAGTTTGATCACTTGTCCCAGAGGTGATCCATATGGCACAGCAGACCTCTTCTGACCCACCTGCCACTGCCCTCAACAGTGTACTTCCTCAGTCTGCCTGTTCTGCTCCCTGCTCTGTCTCTGGTGAATTCTCTCACTGCCCCTGCACCTCTGGCCTGTACCCCAGTTCTATATGCATAAATAAATAAATATTTAAAAAAAAAAAAAGAAAGCTTGGCCCTCCCTGGTGGTGCACTGGTTAAAGCACAGTACTAAGAAGCTTAAGCCGCTTCTGCATGAGTTCGATCCCCGCCTGCCCCGGAAGAGATCCACATGGCGTGACAGACCTCTCCTGGCCGGCCCGCTGCTCCTCAGCAGTGTACTTCGTCGATCTGCCTGTTCTGCTCCCCACTCTGTCCCTGGTGAATCCTCTCACCCTCCGCATCTCTGACCTGTATCCCAGTTCTGTATGAATAAATAAATAAATCTTTTTAAAAAAAAAAGCCTATGATAACGACTGAATCCGGATTTGAAAATGAAGCCCTTAAATTTGTATTTTTAGCCAGATATTCTGGTGTTTTGTTTTTTCCTAAATAGGTGAGGTCAGATATAAGGACTTGCTATTAAAAAGCAGAATAGGGCCCTCCCTGGTGGCGCAGCGGGTTAAAGCACAGCACTGAGAATCTGAAGCCACTTCCGCATGAGTTCGATTCCCGCCTGCCGCCTGCCCTGGAGGAGACCACATGGCGAGCCAGACCTCCCCTGACCCGCCCACTGCTCCCCTCAGCAGTGTACTTCGTCGATCTGCCTGTTCTGCTCCCCACTCTGTCTCTGGTGAAGCCTCTCACCGCCCCTGAGCCTCTGGCCTGTACCCCAGTTCTGTATGTACAAATAAATAAATCTTAAAAAAAAAAAAGGCAGAATAAAAGTGGTACATCTTAATGGAGTATAGAGTTTAAACAAATACTGGTGGGCTACCTTTTATGTAAAAATAAATAATTTATTAGGCAGTAATACAAAAAATAATTTATTAGGCAGTAATAATTTATTAGGCAGTTTTTGAATGTAGTTTCTATCTTTAACCTACTTTGAACTATGCCTACAGATTCCTCAGTATATAATGTATTTACTTTCCTGCCTGTTCAGATACTTAGGTAGATTAGTATCAAATAAATACACTACTGTTAGGATGTATGTGGACTTAATAGGGCAAAGAAAAGATATCATAGATTTATTGCCTTTCAAACAGTGCTAAGATGGAGAAAGGAAAAACTTTAGACATACTGAGTAAAAGAAAAGGTAGAAAAAAACCCCAAGTACTGTTTTGTAACTGGGGGACTCACTTTTTGTTTTTTCACCTAAACACAGTTTATTAGTGATTAATAAGTAGTAATTTCTGTCCATTTTAATGACTAAATTTAGAGGAGTTGGAATGTATAGTATAGCTGTCACTTCCTTTTGCACATAGCTCTTTAGGTGATAGCATTGTTACAGGTAGAAGGGATGAGATAAAAGATGTTCTTATCATTCATATTTTCTTAACTGAATACTGTTATTTGGAATTTGAATGTATTTCATTTCTATATGCAGAGAGAAATGAGTAGAATTTGGAAAATGATAAATTGTCTTCACTAATCTAAAATGTGTGTTGTTAGAATTTTAAATGAGAACTTTTAAAAGTAATTATAAGACATTTTAAAAGGGAATACAGAGTGTTTAATCTGAGTTCATCCCGTACAACATAATCATTCAAAAAGTGAGAACAGTACTTACTAACTTAATGAGAATAGACAAGCAGTTGTCTTTTTTTCTGGCATTGATCTGGTTTGTTTTTAATTTAGATTTTAAAATTTAAATTGTGTGAAGAATATTTTTTGGTGATACAGAATATTTAAGTATTAATGGAATTTTATTCTTTCTTAGGTCATGTTTACTGGTGAAAATATTCCTGTTCATCCTCATGTTTATAGCAATGGTCATATCTGTTTATCCATTCTAACTGAAGACTGGTCCCCAGCGCTCTCAGTCCAGTCAGTTTGTCTTAGCATTATTAGCATGCTTTCCAGCTGCAAAGAAAAGGTAGGACTTCTAAGATTTTTTTCCAGGTAGAGAAATAATTTTAATATATAATTTAATGCTTAATTTTTTTTAATGAAGTTATAGGGAATGCTGTTTTAAAAAAATAGATGAAAAATTATTTTGATAATCTTTATTTAGTTCCAGTTAGAAGTCAGATTTATTGTTTTATATTTCTAAAACAGGAAGTTTCTGCTTATATTTTATGATTTTTTTGTTTTCCAGGTGTTTTTAAATCTGAAATTTTTTCCCATAACCATGTAGAGCGCAAAAGTATACAAGAAATTCTTGCTTCTAGATTTTACAGTGGAAAGCCCCATCAATAGCATCATAGTTCTTTCTTCCCTCTTCTGGCTTCCATTTTATCAATCTTTTATGGAATTCCCAGGAACCAAAGTTTTCTTATTGTAATAATTAGATTGAAAGAGGAAAAGTAGTTTACCAGTAGAGTTTTCTTATTCTCCTTTACTAAGTCACAGATTCTGTTTTATGGCCAGGAGGGGAAGACCAAAAAGAAAATCACATGATATTTAAGATATCTCTTTAAAGTATCTAAATCCTCTGTACATTCCTGGTCCTGTTGTCATTCCTGCTGAAGGATAGTGTAATACTACTTTTGCAGTTTAAAACCTCACTTCTCCATGAGAATGCATCCTTGTGTGTTCTGTTTAAAGGGAAAACAAAATTTCTGGCGACTAGGAACTTTATTTTAGAATTTAAAAAACATGGTCTCTGAATTGACTCACTTTTTATTAAAGTAGTATTTAGAGAATGTTTAAGAGAGTAGATCATTTTAATATGGTAGGTTATCTATCTACCTACTGTAACAAGCCATTGTTTGCAAAGTGATTTTTTTAAATTGTTAGTTATGTGAGAAGTTAACTTAGAAAAGTTTTTGGTCAGATAAGCATGTGAAAAAATGAATTAACTTTTTTACCAGCCTCCTGTGGAATTCCCAGGGATCCAGGCTTTCCTATTGTAATGATTAGGTTGAAGGAAGAGAAGTAGTTTACTAGTAGAGTTTCCTATTCTCCTTTACTAAGCCAGGTCTTATTTTCAGCTTATTAGAGTGTCTAATATGGTAGGTAGATAAATAACCTACTATATTAAAGTGTTCTACTCTCTTAAACATTCTCTAAATACTACTTTAATTTAAAAAATGAGTCAATTCAATGTAGAGACTACTTAAGACCTTAATGTAGACCATTTAATGTAGAATTAAGAACCTTTATTATGCAGTATGTACCATACAGATGGAGAAAAATCTTCTGACAGTAAACAATGTCCCACCATTAATTAAATGATGTTTTTTCCATTCAAACTATTAAAATGCATAGGAATAATAAACATTTCAGAATAGATGAAAATAAGGTATATGTTACCTAATGTTAGTATCACTTTTTAATATCAGTTAATTCTTTGTTTTTGACTCTTCTAAGCTGCATTTTTAAGGCTATAGTTTAACTTCAAGGACTTTGGAAATAAGTCTTACTTACTATATTTTCTCTGTGCAACCTACTCTAACATCTAAGTTTTCAACTTTTAGGTGTAGAGCAGAAAAGTTTGTTGCAACAACTTCTGTGTCACAGTTAGTGTTTAATATCTGTAGAAACGTGAGGCAGTAACTATAGGATTAACAAGAAAGGTTAAAAGATTAACACCAGTGATGTTAGCATATACCTCTTCTATGTTCCTTATCATAATTAACTTTTGTTAACATTTAAGTATAATTTGTTTTGAAAAACTAGAAAATAACTGTACTTTCTACTTTCTTCATCCTTTTCTAATCGTTACACTTTGTCTGCTACTAATATATTTATATACGAATCATTCCACTTAAATTATTGATAAAACATTATATATAATATGTTATAAATTGTGACATGTTCAACTTGATAATTTGGAAATAAGGATTATAGCAGCATTAGTTGTGTGAAATATAATAAAATTCTGACATTTTTATTAGAAACCTGCTGTGTGCTATTTTTATGTGCTAAGTACCAAGTAACAAAGCTGAAGTGGAAACTTGCTTTGTCATTGAGAGGATCTAATTCCACAAGAACATTAAAAAGTCTTTTAAGTACTCACCAAAAGCTATCAAAACAGGTGAATTTTTTTCTGCAATGGACTTGGTGCTGTGAGTTTCACTTTACTATTTGACTCTTTGAATACAGACTTTATATATTAAGTGCACAGGCTCATGTTTCAATATCGAATACAAATTTAAAATTTTACTATAGAAATTTGGGGACTTTGATTAGGGTAGTAATTCTGTCAGTTTTCATTTCAGTTTTCTTTTTTACAAGTAAATGGTGTTTTCCTAAGGTGAAGACATTGAAAATCCAGTATGTCAGTACATTTCCTAGATTAGAGATAATTTCTGGCATTGATACCAGGGGCCTTTCAACAGTCTACCCTTTATTCTCATTGCCTGTATGATACAGGTAGTTGAAACTTCCCAGTTTATATACCAAACAATTTTGGTTAATTTTCCTTTTGTATATTTTCTAAGAGCCATAACTCCTTGAGTGCTTACCAATGGGGTGTATGTAGACTTAATCAAATAAAATGAGTGTTTTTTTTTCTTCATTAAATATTCACCTTTTGAAGATTGCATTCTAATAAATTTGCAGATAAAATTAGTTCATGAAATTTTAGTAACAATTTATTACACATGAACACAGATCATAACTTTGCAGGACAAATAACAGCAGATCTTTGAAATCATCAGTCATTTAATTTCATAATGTTAATCTTTAGGAACTTTCTCAAGCTATTTTAATGGGGTGGTCTTAGATAGTTGTTTAATTTCTTCTCTCCCCTTTCATTAAATTACTGTTAATTTTAATGTATAAGAGCATTGTGAGACTCACCTAAGGTCACAGCTGGATACATGAGTATTAGTACCAAGTGAACTGGTCTGACTATTTTCCTTTCTGTGGACAGTCCTGCTTACCAGTTATATTGGTTGGACCTATAATGTTATTTATAAATCTGTCCCTAATGACTTTTTCAAAATGTATTTATTTATTTGTTTATGCATAAAAGATGGGTGTGTGTGAAAGGATTCACCAGAGATAGACTGGGGGGCAGAACATGTGGATTTACTGAAATACACTGCTGAGGGGAGCAGCTGGCAAGACAAGAGAGGTCTGCTGTGTTATATGTAGGTTAATTCCCTGGGTGGGCTTCATACTTAGACCTTAGCAGTGATAAATCTGAAACTTACCCCCATGACACTAGGCAGTCCTGCCTTCAATGACTTTAATGTAAATTTGACATGTTTCCAAGTTTTTGTAGAGTCACATATTTCTTTGGCCATTTCCCAGCAGTTTTTAAGGAAAAATCTCTTTTTTTATCGGTGTTTAAAGTTGTTGGTATCACCATTTCTGATGTAACCCCCTATAAAAAAAAAGTCTGGCCCTCCCTGGTGGCGCAGCGGGTTAAAGCGCAGCACTGAGAATCTGAAGCCACTTCCGCATGAGTTCGATTCCCGCCTGCCGCCTGCCCCGGAGGAGACCACATGGCGAGCCAGACCTCTCCTGGCCCGCCCGCTGCTCCCCTCAGCAGTGTACTTCGTCCATCTGCCTGTTCTGTTCCCCACTCTGTCTCTGGTGAAGCCTCTCACCGCCCCTGAGCCTCTGGCCTGTACCCCAGTTCTGTACGAATAAATAAATAAACCTTTAAAAAAAAAAAAAAAAGTCTATAACTTTCCCCTTTTTCCCTCATATATTTTTTGGAATCAGTATCCTTTGGTCTATCCTTGATAATACTGTTTTTACTGGAAAACAATAATTCTTCATGAAAGTTTATGTTTCTGTAGTCCCTTAGGCAAATCTTTTAGGCAAACTTTATTTTATAGTAGTTAAAGTATTTCTAGGGACATAAAACAAACAAAAACGCATCACAATTTAAATACTCTTACTTTTTAGTTGATAACTCATTCTTTAGTAACCCATAGGACTAAACCACCCACATAAATCTCCTTCCCCTTTTTTGTTTTGAACAATTTCATTATCAAGAGTCTACATCCCCTGGAGTCTTAGTTTTCAGTTATGCATCAGTGTTTATATTATTCTTTATGCTTTCTATAATAATTTTGTTAAAACTGTCTCCCCCTTATATTATTCTTATACTTAACAACTTCTTACGCATTTAAACTTTTTTTGATTTCAGAGACGACCACCAGATAATTCTTTTTATGTTCGAACATGTAACAAGAATCCAAAGAAAACAAAATGGTGGTATCACGGTAAGCAGTTTTACTTTAGAATGATAACTTAAGGTTTTTGGTTAAAAGATTATATAATACATTTTTGTTTGGGTGGGAAAGGGAATATGTAACTGATGTCTTTTTGCATCAATGATATGGAGATTTGTTAAAATATTTTAAGTTATCTTATGAACAGAGTAGGCTCTATTTTTAATGGGGCAAATAAAATCATAGCCATCAAGATATTTAATCATATTAGAACTACCAGGAGATCTGATATTTGAATACAAATTTTGGTACCTAATGTATTCATTTAGTTCTGGTGGTGTTTTGGAGGATGGTGAGGTTATATTGTTAAATAGGACCTTCTTAGATTAAAGAAAGCTCTTCCTTTCTCAATATTTTTTTATCATAAAATTTGAGACTGCTAATTCCAGCTTTGTGAATACAGTACTCAATTTTAAATTTTTATGGTTGTAGTTAGAAAGCTGGTGGTAGCTTTATAATTGAAAGCTAGAATCTTCTGAACTAAACTTACTGCTTTCCTAAAGAGGTATTCAAAATTAAAAACAAAAAGTTTATATATCTCATTGAGCTCTTTGAAAAAAAGGCTTCAAGCTATAGCCCCTGTAGTTTAATATATGATATTTTCTTTGTTTTCCTTTCTTTAAATGTTATCTTGATAAGAAATTAGAACTGACAAAACTAATTACTAGGACTATGGCCTTTCCCCCTACCTTTCTTTCCAATATGAAACCGATTACCTCAGCTTAATTTAAGTCAATAAAAATTTAATTTTAAGAGTTCTTGTTAAATGTTGAGATAAAAGATGACAAAGTTCAGTATAGTAACACCATACCAGCAATGGGAAGTTAGAAAACACAGACAAGAATGCCATTCCTGAGAACCACAGAATTATGAATATTTGCATAATGCTAATGAGGAATGTAGGTTATCTAAGAGAAGCAACGACAAAACTTTTAAGTTCTGTGAAAGAAAAAAAATAATAATTTAATGAAAAACCAGTGTAATTACAAAGTGTATATACTTTACAAATTGTAGGTGTAAATGTAATTCTATAAAAACAGTGGAATAATGATTGGGTGCTAAAAGACAGGAAGAATAGCTTGAATTTTAAACCAAAGGATAATGAAGGAGAAACCATCGACCAGGCACCAAAGCATATTCAAGAATAGATAGATCTTTGACATAATTATATTTCTCTAGGTCTTTTTGTTATAAGATTTGAATTATGGTAAATAAGATATCATAGATCCATGAGAAGGGGAAAACAAAGTAATCCATTAGAAAACTGATAATCATTTTGGGCAAGAAAGGTTTGTGTTTTTATTTCATATATAAAATAGTTCCTATGGTTTGATTTAAGCATTTTCTAATATAACAACAGAAAATGTTTTTTTTTTAAATTAGGCTTCAACCTAGAGGAAAATTTCTGACATTAGAAATCATAAAGAAACTAACCATTTAGTTACATGAAAATTTAAACTTAAAAATGAATCCAGAAATCTCAAAACAATCTATATAAAATTATAGAATTGTATAAAACATTTACAGATTATAAAAAATGAAGACCTTTTATATCAGTTGGTTAAGATTAATTAAAAGTATAGGCAAAAAGTTGTGAGAATCCTAAATATCTGAGTTTTTTTAATGGATGAATTGTTTCCTGCATAAAAGCTCCAATAGAGAATTATTATGCCCAATGTTGTTTCTACACTTTCTGTTTTTTAGAATGAATTCTTCCAACACACACACGGGAATTTTTTCATGGAATCTTATAGAGTAGCTCCCTCCTTTAAGGAATCTCAGAAAGTAGTACTGTGCCTAGAATTCTGGTTTTGTTTTAGTTTTTTAAGACATCTCCAGATAATTCTAATAGAGCTGATAACTTGAAAGCTACTGTTTCAAGCATTCTCAGATATGAAAGAACAGGCTTCCAAATAAAACACATTAATAATAATTGGACTAAAGGAATTCTCTGAGCACTGAAGGGCCACTAAAATTTTTTAACAAGATCCTACTTTAATTAAATAACCTTTTACTTCAATTTACCTTGCTGACTTTTCATTCTTTTACATCCTCTTGCTTTTTAGGACTAGTCACTAACCTGCCTCTTCTCTCTGTTCCTTTGCAAAAACCTTCCCACTTCCATTTCATGTTAAAAAAAATTTTTTTAATAAAAAGGAAGAAATTGTTAAAAAATAATAAATAAAAGGAATCATTGCTTGTATGACACAGCCCCCCCCCCATCTTAATATAGTAAATTTTCCAAATCCATCAAAAATTAAGATTAGTCAATCAGACAATTTTTGTTTAGGTGTCATATTTCCTAAGAGAGTATGCATTCTGCTTCAGAACTCAGCCTCAGTAATATCAGAAAAATTTCTTCATTATCTTTTCCACCACAGTGTTTTTAATAAGGCTTGCCAATAATCTTAAAGTGATGAATTTTGAGTATACATATTTTTTGAAACTAGACCCTTACTACCATCCTTTCACAATAATCCCCTTGTTAGGCAGTATATTCTTATTTTTCCTTTCCTTATTTCCTAGTAGGAAGTTTCAAAGAGATAAATATTTTTCAGGTCTTCTAATACTGACTTATGTAATTGAAAGGCTAAAGAAGTCGTCTTTTATTTAAGAGTACTTCAGAATTTTTTCTTACCTATTTTTGAATAAGAAGTGGGACATATTCACATAATGAAATTAGATATGTTTAATATTTTTTTTAAATGTACTTTATAACAGAGCTTATTTTTCAGTGAATAGTTTGTTGCTGAGAAATAAATTTTATTTCATAACTGAAGTAGTTGAGTCTTTTACTAGCTTAAAGCTGGATCAGTAAGTACCAAGGGAAGGAGACCTTTCAAACTAAATTAATTCCCTCTTAATTGAAAACAGTACAGACTCTGTATAGAAATTCATTCCCCCAATAAACAGGTTAAAAGTATTCTCTCTTTTCTTTCCCAAAATACAAATTAGCTATATTTAAAAGGCACTGAATTCTCACTCAGCTAAATCCTGACTACCCTTGTCCAGTTTCCTATCCCAGGTTAGATACGTTTTTTCATTAATGGGTAATTATTTTTTAAACATCCTCAGTTCATTAATATACAGTGGTCATTCTTAGCTCAACTTCTGCCTACCTAAATCGCTTCCCTCCCCTTGGTTTCGCAGGTTTGCTCCATGAATGAGCTTCATATGAAATCAGTGAAGAATAATGTTAGTTACACTTTGATATGACAAAGCAATTGTTCTGTCATAAAGCTAAATGGGTTCAGAGAATCTTCCTCTACCTGCCCCCCCCACTTTTAAAAAGCTAAAACATTTCACCTGTGTAGCATCTGTTATCATTTTTATACATTTCAGAAAAACAGTTATAGGCAATGAAAAATAGCTTACATTGACATTGTAGATAAACTGGGAAAATGTTATCAAAAAAGTAATCCCTCAGAAAGCAGAACACACCAGCTTTGTTTTTAGAGCTCTTTCCAGATATCAGATTATGTTTCTATTTAGTTGCTTTAGTTCTAAAAGATCTTCACCAATCTTATTCTCTTTATCATACCAAGTTGCCAAGAAACATGAACTCTGACTTCTGAGTATTATCTAATTCTAAAAGGATTACAGGAACAGACCAATGTCCTGATATAACCTGTAAAGCTAAATAAAAACAGTGAACAAATACTTGCTTGAAATTGAATGAATTCACTGAAACACAACATTTCAGTTTCTAGAAACCAAGCAGGATTGCAGGCCTCAGGTATCAAGCTTCACAGTCCTTCCATCTTGTGTTAACAAACATACTTGGGTCAGCCTGAGTTCAGGGTGTTTGTCACATGTAATCAAAGAGTTAGAGAGATTTTGGTTTAGATTAGTTATATTTGTTAGGGCTGGGGTAGGCAGTGCTTCCTGGATATAGAATGGAGGCATTAAGAAGAAATGAACAATCTGAATTTAAGTTTGTCTCTTAATTTTAAAAGAGGACAATTCAGGGAGCCTCCCTGGTGGAAAAAGGATTAAGTCTCAGCACTATGAAACTATTTATCACAGCCACTGCAATGAGTTTGATCTCCAGCCAGGGAGGTGGCTCATGTGGCGCAGCAGACCTCTCCTGTCTCACCCACTGCCCTCCTCTGCAGTATATTTCAGTTAATCTGCCTGTTCTGCTCCCTACTCTGGCAAATCCTCTCACCACCATCATCTCCCGCACCCCCACCTCTGGCTATACCAGTTCTTATATGCATAAATAAATATATAAATCTTTTTTTAAAAAGCAAAAGAGGAAGATTGAGCTAATGCACTAAGACTGAGCTGCTAGATGACCAGTGTTGGATTCTTGAGGGGAAAAAAGACTTTCAGTTTTTTTTGGTAATCTTCTACATAATATTAGCTAGGTTTTACCTGACAGTAACTGTCTTTCTGTAAGTCATACTATGATAGATTGCATTCTTTGGGGATCTTCTCACACAATAACTTGTTAAAATATAAAAAGATACTGATAATGCAAATACATATTCCTTATAGTTACTTGAAATTGACTATCAGTGAAAACTCTTTAATTAAAAATTTCTACTCACTAAGAATTATGGTCTTGTCTGCACTGGAATGCAAATACTCTGTGTTGTCAGTTAAGGCTGGGGTGTTTATTCTTTGAAAAATCAGTTGAGGGCTCTCCTGGTAGCATAGCGGGTTAAAGCACAGCACTAAGAAGCGAAAGCCGCTTCAGCGTGAGTTTGATCCCTTCCCTGGAGGTGACCCACTTGGTGCGACAGACCTCTCCTGACCAGCCCACTGCTCCACTCAGCTGTGTATTTCCTCAGTCGGCCTGTTCTGTTCCCCACTCTGTCTGGTGAATCCTTTCACCACCCCTGCACCTCTGGCCTGACCCCAGTTCTGTGTGCATAAATAAATAAATATTTCTTAAAAAAGAAAAAGAAAAATCAGTGGAGCCTAGGTGATACGGTTGAAAAACAAGGTAAATCTAAACAAAATAGATATTTGAATAGATAATTCATTTCAGTATATAAAGGGACTGAGTAATGTGCCTAAGATTCAGAGCTAGGATCTATGTCCATTTCAGTACAGTGTTGTATGATTGAGTCAGTGTATCATTATATACTTAATTCTTGAAAAAGATACAAAGTCTCTTTATGACATCATGAACATATCTCAGAGAGGTAGCCAGCTTGAATCTATTAATCATATGATCCATCTGTTCCCTGGGATCAACATTAAATATATACAACTTAGTTTCCAAAAGGATTGCTTTACAGAGATAGATTTGTGGTTCCTGAGGCATTTTCCTTAAGGGAATAGAGAATTGAACCATGGTCAGTTACAGAACAACTCAAAGCTGTTTTGAGTATTGGCTTCAAAAAACTAGGTTTATAGGAAATAAATTGGCATAATATTTAGATATAATGTCCAGTAAACTGATGCTTACAATTTTGGGAGTAGTAGAGCACTGTTTTTTTCCCCCAAACTATAAATGACATTCTAGTTCCATACAACTGGAACATTTTGAATTTGAATTAGACTTGTAAAGACTATAAAGGAGTTAGGGACATGAAATTATCTCAGATTATTATTAATGAACTCCTTTTATCCCTGCCTTATAGTTGTCTATAGATATACCTGTGTTAGTTGTGAACTTTCTATTTATACTTTAGACTTATAAACTTGTAGGTTTACAAAATCACTTTCTAAATTCCTGAGTTCAAACATTAATTATTTTTAATAGTCTGCACCCTTTGTTTCCAGTTAGATAACAGTTTTATTGTCCACTCTGAAATCTTTCTTGAATTAGTTCATCAAAGGAAAATTTTAATTTCCTAAATTGTTCAAAGACTGTAAAGATTTATTTTTGTCTTTCTTGGAGATAGCATCCCATTTCATATCTACTGACCTATTACTATGTTCCTTTTCTTCTAGTCTTCTGTCCCTGGGAATATCCAGGGAGATGGTTTCCAATATAATGTGATGGTTCTTATACTCTGGGGAAAAATAAATGACCTTCTTCTAATATAGTTCTCTCTCATTCACGTTTCCCAGAAGCCCAGTGAAGTTAGCCATGGTAGGTGTCACTTCTTTGGAACTGGTAATTTGTGTATTGTATTTGAGGATATAATTTTAGTAGGGACTATTGCAGTTGCACAGAAAATTTAAGTTAATGAGATTATTTTCAGTCCATCATCTTTTGATAAACACTTTAGCTACAAGATTAAATATGTTTGTTCATCCTCTGTAGGCCTACATTTGTCTTGATCCCAGATGGATTTACCCTAACAACTTTTTTTTAGTAAGCCAGTCTTAAGTATCACCAATCCTTTTCATCTGCCTAGGAAATTGTATTCTTCTGCTAACAAATGATGTTTTTACTTCTTGTTGAGGACTCCATTATTTAAATGATGGCCATAGCTTTGGCTTATACCTGTCTCCATACTTAGAAAATCTTGATTTGTATATGTGTGTTTTCATTCATTCATTATGAATTTGTGATTTTTAAGGCCTTTTGTGTCCAGCTATTAGAGACATCATTGAGCTTCATCTTAGAACTTAGAAATTTGTACAGTTTATTTCTCCAAAGACAGAGTGATAAAGGCAGGTAATGTGATACTAGTCTAAAGTTTTATTTTGACATCTGACCAAAGATAGATTGGATTAGATAGGAAAAATAGTTTCACATAGGTATCCTAATCATTTTGGTGATTATTTGTAGCACATTCTACAGAAGGCTACTGTATTGAAAATCTTCCAGAATGAACAACCTGATAACACTACATCTAGGATAGGTTTTTGGAGATAAAAGCTTATGTAGTTGACTAGATAGCATTATGTTCAAATAGAATTTTATCTGTCACTTTTCCTAAAATATACATTGCCGAATGGTATCTACATTAAAGTTTATCCCTGTTAATTTGATATATTACATAGTTTAGTGCCTTTTTCAGTGAGGAGGTTTAAGTGTGATTAGTTTCAGTATTAATTTCAAGGGTCTTAGTATTGTAAAATGCTCTGTTACAAAGTGAGGTTTTCATGATTTTCTTCTTCATTTTCAGTTTATTCTGCATCCATGATAAAATTACTCTTTTTATTCCATTTTTCATGGTAATTTAAGAGGCAGGTACTTAAAGGCTATAAATAATCTACTTTGTTTACTTCTTAAAAATACTCATTTATTTAAAAGATTTAAATTAATTGGATTATGATTTACTTTGAAAACCTAGCCTATTTTATCCTTTAGACTATTTTTAAGGGTGGCTTCCCTGGTGACACAAGGGATTAAGTCTCAACACTGTGAAGCTTTCCACAGCCACTGCACACAAGTTCAATCCCCTACTAGGGAACTGACCCACATGGCACAGTAGACCTCTCCTGTCTCAAAAACTGCTTCTCTCAGCAGTGTATTTCAGCAAATCTGCCTGTTCTCCTTACTGTCTCAGGCGAATCCTCTCACCCACCACACCTCTGACCTGTTACTCCAGTCTTATACACACAAATAAATAAATCATAAAAAAAAAATTATCTTTTAAAGTATAGGATTGTGGAATATTCCACTGGTTTGCCCAGCATAAAAGTCAGACTTAGAGGTTTATACTGGCGATTGAGTATGACATGAATTTTATTAACTCTCTCTCTCTCTCTAGAAGATATATATATATATATATATCTAGAAGATATATATATATCTTCTAGAGAGAGAGAGAGTTAATATATATGTGTGTGTGTGTGTGTGTGTGTGTGTGTGTGTGTGTGTATTTTAATATGGGATGGTTTGTAAAATATTTTGATCAGTTTTCTGGAATTTTCTCCTTGAGAGTTTCCACAATTCCCAGATAGTTGCTGTCTGTCTTGCTTTTTTCAAAAGCATCTTACTGAAGAATGCTAACCCTCAAAATAAATCCTTCAGATATGGTTTGTTAAATAAATTTAAAAATATATGTTTTATATATTATGTTAGGCTACCTAATAGTATTTCTAAAAGGTTCTCTGGGTTTTTGTTTTTTTTTTTAATGACCTCCTTTACATATGTATCTATATTTGCTGAAAACTTTATTTTGTAAAGAGAAATTAATAATGTTATTTGGTTGCTACAGAGATTTTACATAGTTTTTTTTTTTTTAATGTATTTCTTTCATAGACTTAAAGGCATCAATTGATTATCTTAATCTGTGTTAAGTAGTATGGGTCATTGGTCAGACCAGTTATCTCATTATAATTTCATATTGTTGCCTATAAAATAATTCGCTTAAGATTGATACATCTTATATATATGCTAGCATGTCAGTTTACTCTCTTATATAAAATTAATATACCAGTAATTTAAGATTTGTTTGAACTACCATGTCTCTGAAGGGGTAGAATTTGATTTTTCACTGAATTTAAACACAAACTGCACCTTTTATTTACAGGTATTGGGAGATCAGACAAATAAACCATGTTTTTCTTGTTACTTAAAATTATATCTATGTACAACTAACATAGATTTTATAACTTACTGCATGCATGACTTAATTTTTTTTTTCCCTTTTCTTAAAGATGATACTTGTTGATGCCACTGTTATCGTCCTCCTAGCAGAAGATAGACCTACTGAGAAAATGAGCACTTTGATCATTCAGTCTTTGAACTTTAACCTTTGACTGGAAATGACCTATAGGCAATGAAGACTACTTCCTTTTACTGCATTTTTACTTGTGTGCATTCTGGGCGCATGTTGATCGCTGGTTCAGTCCAAGCAACTGACATGCTTTTATTAGTCATACAGTATTAATGCAGGTGTCAGGAAATGTCAAATATAATTCCATTTTTTATTTTTATTTTTGTAAGCTTTTGGAAAAGTTCCAGGTCCTCATGTATTATTGTGCAATAACAATGACTTCCTTGGCGGTTTTGGGACGTTCATTGCCGGCAATGGACGTTGTAACAGGAAAATTTTCATTAACTCCTGCCACCCAATGATTAATGCATGATAGGGCCTATGAAATGAGCTTATCAGTTATAGTGGGATTATAAGTAAAGTGAGGGATCCAACATTACTTTGAAAGTCACCCCAACTGTTTATATTTGGATTCTATGCACTGCGATCCTAAGGTTAACAGCATGAATTAACATGCGTCTTTAAAGGACTGTAATGAAAGATCATTGCGTATTTATTGAATTGTTTATAACTGCTGTCAAATTGTTTTGACATGGAAGGTTTTCAAGTAACATTGGCAGAGAGGTACAATGTGTTATCCCTATGGTGAAAATAAATTCATTCATTGTATATAGTTTCTCAATCTCTGAAGTAAAGGTATGAGTAATATAGGGTATGAATGGTTTAATCAAAGGCTTTATTTTGGAAGTAAGAAAAATGGCAGTGATGATTAAACTGCTACAGTCCAAAATTGGGCTTGTTATTTGTACATTAACAGTTTTTCAAGTAGATTACACTCTTGTTACTTCCTGCTAGCCATCAGCATGAGCCCTACTGCCTAAACACTATTTCATTTATTTATGTTTGGAAAACCCATAACACTTTTGTTTGCAATTTTGTTTTTTTGTTATGTCTTAAGTCAAGTTTGAATGTTACAATACTTTGAAGAACTTTTGTCAAGTTTTTTTCTTGTAAAATTTCTTTACTTGTAAGTATCATCTTGTCCTTCAATCCTGTACCCTAAAATAAGAAATACATTTTTGACAGAGGCTTAATGTTTTAACAAAAAGTGTGGACATTTTTATTTTAAAATTTAGGCAAAAATACACTATAAAATGGTATGTTCGCTTACTTGTCTCACACAATCATACAGTTTTCCTGGAGGGATTTGTTTTGTTTTCTTATTGTTTAGAAGACTTTGCTTATAGCTAGATAAAAAATTTTTCTATAGAAAAAGAAATTGTTGGAAGGTCCAATTCTCAGTACCATGTAAGTTAATGATAGTATAACTAGATTCTCTTTTTAAAAAATGATTAATGTATTTTATAAATTACCTTTTCACATATGCAAAATCTGTTTCTACTACAACGTTATTTTTACTAATGCCTATTGTTGCACTCTTTTTGACATATTCTGCAGTGAATATATGAATCAATTTGGGCTTAAAAATAAAGGCCAGTTAGTTGGCTAAAAGGTTTGCAGTATGTATCCCAGCAAGACCATCCAATCCATAAATTGGCAGAAAATATTTTAAAAATTGTTTTTAACCTCTGTATAGATGACATTTTGTAGATTTGTACATGTTGTTAATTAAGGACATATAATTTTACATTCTAAAAATATAATTGCTGAACTCAGGGGTGGGTAGACTTCAAAAATATGTCTGCTATAGAAATAACTTGAAAAACAAATATTAAAACCATGGCCAGCCACCAAATTGAGGGCACTATTTATATTACTAGTTAGCAGCTACCACTTTTTAAAATTAAAAATGTTTCTGTTCTATATTAACTAGATATACACAAGTTCTCACAGTAGTTTCTTAACAGTCTTATTAGTTGGTCTGTTTAACCAAGACTAAAATGTTTTTGGAATGCTTTGAACTACTGTTAGTTTTTAAATGCTTTTTATTATGAAAACTGCAGCTGTAAATTATGTATTTTTCTTATTTTACATAACTGCTCTAAACTACTGATTGACTTGATCATTTTGGAATAGGGTGGGGCGAGGAATCCTCTCTATATTGCTGGTTCTCTTACTAAAATCCTTTTATAAAGAAAAGACCTGTGACATTTATTCACCAAAGGAATTAATTTATCAGGTCAAAGATTAATAATGCTATGCTATAGATTAATAGGTTATAAGTAGCCTCAGTTGAGTTTTTAATATAAGTAACAGTATTTTAACATACCTCTCTCTTTACATAGAGATACCATAAAATAAATTAAAATGAAGCAGAGAAAAGTAAAGGAAAACCAAATATTTTCAGTAGTTTATGTTGGTTTAAGAGAAGGAACTAATGAAGACATTATAAAAAACAAAAGGAAGTAAAATGAAATATCTTAGAACAGAGAACACCAACCATTCAGAATTTGCGATCAGATAACACCTTATTTATTTATCCCCTTGAACTTAAGATCCATTGAAAACTCTTTTGCACTTAGATTTAATTACTAAGTTAATTTTGAATGTAAGTTAACATTATTAAAAGACATAAAATGTTTACCTGAGTCAATGCTTTGGAGAAGGCAGTCAATGAATGGCTTTGTAATAATTAAAAGAATATTTCCCCATAATCTGTTGTTGACTAACAACCATAACACCAAGAAAATGTATATAGGAACATGCTACATCTCTCTTCCCTATATTCCCTCTATGTGACAAATTCTGCTGCATAGCCTACCTACAACATCATACTTTCATATTTAGTCTACGTATTCTCTCACTTTTTTATTTATTTATTTATTTATTTTTAGAGCATTCTTCTGGTTTGCCAAATTCTGTTAAAACAGTGCTACATTCAGTTCCTTATTTTGCATGCTTAGAAAATGAACTTGGTACCCTTTCAAAAAATTGTGTTTAAGTAGGTACTAACATACGTTTTAAAAGAGAAGTAGTTTTTCATTTTATGAGATATTTTTAAAAGTAAATTTTATGGCTGTTATAAAGAATTTAATATTCACCTCTAAAGACCTTATTTGTAATGTGTGTAATGCCACTCTAGCTAGCAGGGAAGTAAAACATTTTTAATCCCCATAAGAAAAGCTAAAAGTGACTTTAATCTTCAGTTCATCTGGAGATGGATCTTACTGCTTATTGTTTTGACTAGGCATATAAGTATTTAATATAAAGTAACTTAGAATAGTTTAATTTTTCCCTTCTAAAGTTTTAAGTAAATGCAAAAAACACATCATTAGATTCTGTGGTGGATAATTACTTCAGATTCTAAAAGTATCTAGTGACTACTCAGTTGTTCCCAGATTGCAGCAAAGATGAATTTGCAAATAATGGAAATATGAGTAGTGATATAAAAATGGTGTGTAACCACATACTGTTTCTGGTTATGAAGTCTTATTTTTTAAAAGTTTATTGTTTTAGAGAATTGAGATATTTAAAACTTGTTAAAGCTACTTTCTAAAACTAGAAGAGAAGAGGAGATACTGTGTGTTGAAAAAAATTTTTTAAATAAAGAATTCAGTGTCACTAGTCCTAAGCCTTTATGGTTACTGCTGCTTATATTTCTTGACCTCATTTTTATTTAGGTTTATTGGTTTTTTGTTTTTGTTTTTAGTGTGGATGCTTAAAATTAATAATTGTGTGTAAATTTATTTTCATGAAAAACTGAGACTAATCATATGTATCTTTTCTAAAGGGTTCCTGTTTATCAAAATAATTACTACACTGTGCAGATGCCTTTGCATAACAAATCTAAAAACAGAAAGATGTCTTTTAATCTGCACCAACTGGAACTAATCTCTTTGTAGTTTTATAGTCCTTATTCTTTTTTAATTGAGGCAACATCGGTTTACAGCTTTGTATATGAATTGTATATAAGTATAGAGGTATAGGATCACTCTTCAGGTATAATTTATCATACTACACCCACCACCAAGAAATCCATATAATCTGCCCTCCACCTAAATTTGTGCTTTATGGCCAAATCAGGTAGCCTCAAGTTTAGGGTTTGTTGTTGGTTGGTTATCTGATCTTTTGTTTCTCTGTATTCCTATATATGAGTGACGCTATCCGATACATTTTTTTAAGTCCTTTTATTTTTTTCCTTCCTATCTCCAGATGCCCAATGCATCAGTTTTTAGAAGTTTATGAACTTCCAAGATTCACTGTCTCCTTACCCAGAGCCCTCTACTTCCCCTTTAGAGGATTCAGAAAATGAACAATATTAAAATTACATCTGAATTTTACAGTTTCTGACACTTAATTTCAATTCATTAGTAGAGAACTAAATTTGTTGAATAATTACTTGATGAATGAGCTGTTAACTGTCATTTAGCTCTTAAATTCTGGTAGGGAATTTTATTTACTTTTTGGTTGGTAGCTCATCCAAAGCCCTAATTACTGCCCAAATGAATTACTTGTTTTGGTAAAAGTGTTTTTCTATTTAAATTGTTATGTCATTTTCAGATTTGAAACTTTTAAAAATAGTAATTTAGTAAATAGTGATTTATGGGGAACTTTTGATTTTTTTTTTTCCAGCATAATTGTGCATTATATTGGGACAAATTTGTGTACATCATTGGCGGCCCATGGGATCTAAACATGTCCGTTTATCTCAGATTAACTCTCAAGCTTTCAATTAAAGTTCTGGTTCTGACTATGGTTCTGAGCATTGAGGTGTTATTAAACTTTAACTTTCAAATGTTAGTATTGAAGCTTATATTTGTTAAAGAATCTTCATAATGATACATGAATATCTTTTTGAAAATTTTTTTTGTTCATAAAACAATATATCTGAAGCCATTTTGAATATGTGGAAGAAATGCCTAAATACTAGGTATGTCTAAAGAACTACAGTTTAGAAAATTGAGTGCAGTTGACTAGAAAAAGAAGTGGTTCTTATTTCTTGGCATATAGACTGTGACTGTTAAGAAAAGCTCACTCCTACTGTAATTCTAAGCTGTTTACTCAAAGGCAGTAGTATCATTTTCAAATTTGACTTGTTAGGTATAACATCACTTGTCAGATTTCCTGGTACATGGAATTATCCAGATGGGATAATGCTGCCTCTAATTTTGAAACCTGAAACAAAACTCTTAAGAAATTCAGTACATTGTGTCAGATCTCATGAAAATGTGAGTTTCTTCATAGCTAACCGCAGATTATTTATATGAGTGGAAATTGTCAGGCTCATGATGTAAAATAATTACTTGAGTTGGTTATTAGGCTAATTAGCCAAGAATCAAGAATCAAGTGTATGTACAATTCAAAATGAATTTGTTGTTTTTAGTTGGTGCCATTTTTCTCTTAATAATCAGTAATATAAATTGTGAATTTTATGAGTAGGAATGGGAGCTCATAGTTAAGGATTTGAATAGGCTAGATGTATAAATTTTATATATTTAAGCTGTAAAATGTGTAAAGCTACTGCTTTTTAAATAGAATATAAATGTAAGCGGATAAATTTACATATATTTTTAAATGTATTAAGCATTTGTTAGTTCAATATAAATTACATTGTGTGCTTTCTTGAATTTAGTAAATAATAAACCAGCTTTTGATTTGTTTTTCTGTAGACTTGAATACTAAATTGATAGGTATAAACCTCTATAGTTTATAAAAGTTTATTTATACAGAAGTTCCCGTTTACAAAAGAATGTGACCTTTAAAAGATTATGGAAACAGTAATATATCCATTCCAAAATGAGTGCAACAGGATGAATTATCATTGAAGTCATTTTCTTGCTTATTTATTTAACAGATCATTTTTATGTAGTGGAGTAGCCCAGTGTATTTTATGGTTCTTTATGCTTACAATTGAATCCAGGTTAAAAGCTGGGCATTTTCAGAAAAGACTCTTGCTAAATCTGTATGATTAATATGAGAAACTTTAGTAAAGAACTTCTGGTTGTTTTCCTGAATGTGCAAACATACCAGCTAACTTACTTAAGTGAGTGCGCTATTCCTGAAGCTGTATGAAAGGAAACAGGCAGAAGGAATTTTTTATACATCTTGGTTATTCCTGGCAGGAAAAAGTTCAATATACAATGCTAATAGTCTTGGGATTTCTTTTCCACAGGAGATCTGTGAGCAGGTGTACTACCATAAAAACTCTCGTTTCAAGAAGCTATTTCTGTAGCTTTATACAACGTTAGGTGTAACTCATTAGATAAATGCAAGATCCATCTCCCTTTGTGCTTTGATGGCATTGTCTCCCTTTATTAGTATCCTTAAAATAATTTCTACCTCCCATAGAAAGTAGGACTTTCTCTAGTTTAAGCTTTTGTTGATGAGTGATTCTGTTGAAGTGCTCCCTATATCTCTTAGTACTTTTCACACTAACATAACAGCAAAATTCGTGAAGAGTTAAGTGACAGCTAAGGGTTTTCTCTGCATGGAAAACATGATCCAAGCCCACAGTGATTGTATAGTTGTTCTTTTGGGAACCTTTGAGAATACATTTTTTGTAAATTGCTTATTAATTTTCTTTTCAATATTAGATTAAGGCAAAATATGTGACAGTTCTTGTACTTTCTAATTCAGTGGAGATTATGAAATAATAAGGAAAGTTGAAATGAGAAAATACTTTGTACATCTTTAAGGACCTATTAGGACCTATTGTGGCAATATACATGATTGCATCCTACAGAAAGGTATCAAAACATTTATTTGCACTTGCACTCCAACAAAATTATATATTTTTCATTTTTCCTGTGATGTTAGCACTCCCATCCAACCCAGTTACTCAAAGATTCAAATACTATGTACTAGACCTCCTCTCTGACATTTTTCATCATGAAGTCTTGCTGAGCCTATCTTTAAAACATCTGAAATACCTTTTGTATCTCCAATCTGTTTGCCATTCTGGCCTTTCCCTGCCTGGTCCTGGTGTACTCAGACGTCTCCTCAGCCATCCACACACCTACCTTGTTCCAGAAGTAGTAGCAAAACAATACTACCAGTACTTTGCTAATATTCCCAAATTCTAGTATATTCAGCTGTTTTTCTACCTGAAAGATCCAGTTCAGGTGTAGTTATAGTGTTATCATCTTTGTCCTTCCCTCTTCACCTACTAGTCTACTATCCTGGACTCTTTAACAATAGGGACAGTGTCTTGTCTTTGTGTCTCCAGCATGTAGCACACAATACCCAGCCAATAAGCTTTTAATAAATGTTGGTTAAATTAACTTGTCTGTGCTTGTATTTTTACCCTAGCTTTTTCAAGGAAACTTACTATTTAGGTGCCAGTAATTTTAAAATATATT